ACAACCTCCCATGATAACTGTCAGGTCAGGGCTGACAACCTCCCATGATAACTGTCAGATCAGGGCTGACAACCTCCCATGATAACTGTCAGGTCAGGGCTGACAACCTCCCATGATAACTGTCAGGTCAGGGCTGACAACCTCCCATGATAACTGTCACGTCAGGGCTGACAACCTCCCATGATAACTGTCAGGTCAGGGCTGGTAACCTCCCATGATAACTGTCAGATCAAGGCTGACAACCTTCCATGATAACTGTCAGGTCAGGGCTGACAACCTCCCATGATAACTGTCAGGTCAGGGCTGACAACCTCCCATGATAACTGTCAGGTCAGGGCTGACAACCTCCCATGATAACTGTCAGATCAGGGCTGACAACCTCCCATAACACCTGTCAGATCAGGGCTGACAACCTCCCATGACAACTGTCAGATCAGGGCTGACAACTTCCCATGATAACTGTCAGATCAGGGCTGACAACCTCCCATGATAACTGTCAGGTCAGCTCTTACAACCTCCCATGATAACTGTCAGATCAGGGCTGACAACCTCCCATGATATCTGTCAGGTCATGGCTGACAACCTCCCATGATAACTGTCAGATCAGGGCTGACAACCTCCCATGATAACTGTCAGGTCAGGGCTGACAACCTCCCATGATAACTGTCAGATCAGGGCTGACAACCTCCCATGATAACTGTCAGGTTAGGGCTGACAACCTCCCATGATAACTGTCAGGTCAGGGCTGACAACCTCCCATGATAACTGTCAGATCAGGGATGACAACCTCCCATGATAACTGTCAGGTCAGGGCTGACAACCTCCCATGATAACTGTCAGATCAGGGCTGACAACCCCCCATGATAACTGTCAGGTCAGGGCTGACAACCTCCCATGATAACTGTCAGATCAGGGCTGACAACCTCCCATTAACTGTCAGGTCAGGGCTGACAAACTCCCATGATAACTGTCAGGTCAGGGCTGACAGCCTCCCATGATAACTGTCAGGTCAGGGCTGACAACCTCTCATGATAACTGTCAGATCAGGCCTGACAACCTCCCATGATAACTGTCAGGTCAGGGCTGACAACCTCCCATGGTAACTGTCAGGTCAGGGCTGACAACCTCCCATGATAACTGTCAGATCAGGGCTGACAACCTCCCCTGGTAACTGTCAGGTCAGGGCTGACAACCTCCCATGATAACTGTCAGGTCAGGGCTGAAAAACCTCCCTGGTAACTGTCGGGTCGGGGCTGAAAAACCTCCATGATAACTGTCAGATCAGGGCTGACAACCTCCCCTGGTAACTGTCAGGTCAGGGCTGACAACCTCCCATGATAACTGTCAGGTCAGGGCTGACAACCTCCCCTGGTAACTGTCAGGTCAGGGCTGACAACCTCCCATGATAACTGTCAGATCAGGGCTGACAACCTCACCTGGTAACTGGTTCCTCTCAAAACATCACCTGTAGCTCTGGATGCAGCAACATTTCGCCAACAGTGTTGTATGAAAGACAGTTGCAGCCGAAACAGTCAATGCCGATGTTTCTCTCTTTGTAGAGCGAAACATTGGCCAAAGAAACCTTGTTGAAGAATAGCAGTTGTTGAGTAACAACAGGTGTTGAACAACAGGTATTGAGGAATAACAGGTGTTGAGGAACAGCAGGTGTTGAGTAACAGCAGTTGTTGAGGAACCACAGGTATTGGGGATCAACAGATGTTGAGGAACAACAGGTGTTGAGGAATAGCAGGTGTTGATGAACAACAGGTGTTGGGAACAACAGGCGCTGAGGAACAACAGGTAATGAACAACAATTGTTGAGCAACAGGTGTTGGGAACAACAGGTGTTGAGGGACAGCAGATGTTGAGAAGTGACAGGTGTTGAGTAATAGCAGGTGTTGAGGACCAACAGGTGTTGAGGAACAACTCACTCCATCTTTCCCACTTTGAGTTACCTCTTAAATGTCAAGGGTAACGTTAAAGGTTCACCCCACTACACTGTTAAGTACACTACACTGTTAAGTACACTACACTGTTAAGTACACTACACTGTTAAGTACACTACACTGTGTTAAGTACACTACACTGTTAAGTACACTACACTGTTAAGTACACTACACTGTTAAGTACACTACACTGTGTTAAGTACACTACACTGTTAAGTACACTAAAACTGTGTTAAGTACACTACACTGTTTAAGTACACTACACTGTTAAGTACACTACACTGTTAAGTACACTACACTGTTAAGTACACTACACTGTGTTAAGTACACTACACTGTTAAGTACACTACACTGTTAAGTACACTACACTGTTAAGTACACTACACTGTGTTAAGTACACTACACTGTTAAGTACACTACACTGTTAAGTACACTACACTGTTAAGTACACTACACTGTTAAGTACACTACACTGTTAAGCACACTACACTGTGTTAAGTACACTACACTGTTAAGTACACTACACTGTTAAGTACACTACACTGTTAAGTACACTACACTGTTAAGTACACTACAACTGTTAAGCACACTACACTGTGTTAAGTACACTACACTGTTAAGTACACTACACTGTGTTAAGTACACTACACTGTTAAGTACACTACACTGTTAAGTACACTACACTGTTAAGTACACTACACTGTTAAGCACACTACACTGTGTTAAGTACACTACACTGTTAAGTACACTACACTGTGTTAAGTACACTACACTGTTAAGTACACTACACTGTTAAGTACACTACACTGTTAAGTACACTACACTGTTAAGTACACTACACTGTTAAGTACACTACACTGTTAAGTACACTACACTGTGTTAAGTACACTACACTGTTAAGTACACTACACTGTGTTAAGTACACTACACTGTTAAGTACACTACACTGTTAAGTACACATACACTGTTAAGTACACTACAACTGTTAAGTACACTACACTGTGTTAAGTACACTACACTGTTAAGTACACTACACTGTTAAGTACACTACACTGTTAAATACACTACACTGTTAAGTACACTACACTGTGTTAAGTACACTTCACTGTTAAGTAAACTACACTGTGTTAAGTACACTACACTGTTAAGTACACTACACTGTTAAGTACACTACACTGTTAAATACACTACACTGTTAAGTACACTACACTGTGTTAAGTACACTTCACTGTTAAGTACACTACACTGTGTTAAGTACACTACACTGTTAAGTAAACTACACTGTGTTAAGTACACTACACTGTTAAGTACACTACACTGTTAAGTACACTACACTGTTAAGTACACTACACTGTTAAGCACACTACACTGTTAAGTACACTACACTGTTAAGTACACTACACTGTTAAGTACACTACACTGTTAAGTACACTACACTGTGAAGTACACTACACTGTTAAGCACACTACACTGTTAAGTACACTACACTGTTAAGTCACTACACTGTTAAGTTACACTACACTGTTAAGTAAACTACACTGTGTTTAAGTACACTACACTGTGAAGTACACTACACTGTTAAGTACACTACACTGTTAAGTACACTACACTGTTAAGTACACTACACTGTTAAGTACACTACACTGTGTTAAGTACACTACACTGTTAAGTACACTACACTGTTAAGTACACATACACTGTGTTAAGTAACTACACTGTTAAGTACACTACACTGTTAGTACACTACACTGTTAAGTACACTACACTGTTAAGTACACTACACTGTGTTAAGTACACTACACTGTTAAGTACACTACACTGTTAAGTACACTACACTGTTAAGTACACTACACTTTTAAGTACACTACACTGTTAAGTAAACTACACTGTGTTAAGTACACTACACTGTGAAGTACACTACACTGTTAAGAACACTACACTGTTAAGTACACTACACTGTTAAGTACACTACACTGTGTTAAGTACACTACACTGTTAAGTACACTACACTGTTAAGTACACTACACTGTTAAGTACACTACACTGTGTTAAGTACACTACACTGTTAAGTACACTACACTGTTAAGTACACTACACTGTTAAGTACACTACACTGTTAAGTACACTACACTGTTAAGTACACTACACTGTTAAGTACACTACACTGTTATATACAATGCACTGCTAAATACACTGCACTGTGTTAAGTACATTGGACTGTTAAGTACACTACACTGCAGGATGGTGTAGGATGGTGGTGGGTACAGGCAGAATGATGTAGGATGGTGAGGGGAAACAGGGGGGTGTAGGATGATGGTGGGTAGATGCAGGATGGTGTAGGATGGTGGTGAGTGGAGGCAGGATTTTGTAGGATGGTGGTGGATAGAGGCAGGATGGTGGTGGGTAGATTCAGAATGGTGTAGGATGGTGGTGGGTAGAGGCACGATGGTGTAGGATGGTGGTGGGTAGAGGCAAGATGGTGTAGGATGGTGGTGGGTAGAGGCAGGATGGTGTAGGATGGTGGTGGTTAAAGGCAGGATGGTGTAGGATGGTGGTGGATAAAGGCAGGATGGTGTAGGATGGTGGTGGGTAGAGGCAGGATGGTGTAGGATGTGGTGGGTAAAGGCAGGATGTTGTAAGATGGTGGTGGGCAGAGGCAGGATTTTGTAGGACGGTAGTGGGTAGAGTCAGGGTGGTTGGGGAGGAGCAGGGTGGTGTAGGATGGTTGTTGGGAGTGGCAGGGTGGTGGGAGTGAGGCAGGGTGGTGTAGGATAGTGGTGGGGAGAGGCAGGATTGGACGAAGATAGGGATGATTCACTTTGAAGACAGAATCGGGGATAGGAGCTAGACGGGATCGGGGGGCTGGCACTTTGTGGGTGTGATTGGATTAAGGGGCGGCACTTTGTGGGCGGGATAAGTCTTGGAGCTTCACTGTAAGGGCGGCACAGTGTTGTGGTCGACACTCTGTGGGCAGAACGGGGTTGCGGGGGAGGAGGGGGATCGGCACTTTGTGGGCGGGACGATGCTAAGGTCCGCACTTTGTGGGCGGTACGGGTTGGGGGCGGCAGTGTTGGTGTTGGTCGCGGAGTTTGGGCGGCGTCAGTGTGCGCGTGGCAGGCTGGGCGGCGGGCGGCGGAAGAGGTCTTGTTGTTGAGACTAACCACCAAATCTACAACCACTATCCACCACCACCACCACCTTGCTTAACCAGCTCGCGTCTTGACATGTTTTTGTCAGCTGACTGTTTCCTCTCCTGTTCCTACTTCTCTTCCCCCTCGTCCTGCTCTTCCTCCACTTCCTCCAGTGGTCGTCCTCCACACACTTCAGACGCGACCACTTCGTGTTAAGCTATGTAAACAATCCAGTAACGTGTGTCATACAGGTGCGAGCAGACTGTTAAATACTCATTAATACCGGCAGTGTAAACCACGTTATTGAAAACACCCCAGACTGAGGTTTCTTTTTGTTTTCTTTCCTTGATACACCTGAAGCCTAATTGTTTTTAGTGTTTTCTTCTTACGCTGGTGACGGAGAGTCGGGAAAGTCGTCAGTGAGAGTCATGAGAGTGCATCATGCAGCTGGAAGAACTACAGGTTTGAGTGACTCTTCGTGAAGTACTCAAGCGTTGTAAACCTCGTCAGGAGGACTCACGCTCACTTTAATGTGTGTGTGTGTGTGTGTGTGTGTGTGTGTGTGTGTGTGTGTGTGTGTGTGTGTGTGATGGAACACTCAGAACACGTTGTGAGCATGTATATAAACACCTAAAACACAGTGTGATATATATTTGATTTAAACATTCGGAACTCTGTGAAATGAGTGTTCGTATGTGTTAACACCCAGAACACACTGATATATGAATATTTTGAACACTCAGAACACTGCGAAATGTGTGTGCGCGCGTGAACACCAAGAACACACTCAAATGCATCCCAAAGAAGGCAATGGATGCACTCAGCGTTGAGTGTGTGACGAACTCAAGAGTGTATATACTACACTCTTAGTTTTAAGTACAAGATATTTGGGAGGAGGAACACACTGGTGTAAGTACCAGGTCATTCGAGGACTCACACTTGTGTATTTATGGTGTGTTAGGTAAGAGGTGGTTGTTAGTGATGGTGCTGGTTATTAATTAGTTTAGCGGGAATGACTGTCAGCTATGTAGGTCTGTGTACTTATTGTGTGGGTGTAGTGGTGGAGGAAGGGAGGGGTGTTGGAGGTGTGGTGGTGAATTAGTGGTGGAAGGAGGATAGAGGAGATGGAGGTTACCTGGAGGTTATTCCGGGGATCAACGCCCCCGCGGCCCGGTCCATGACCAGGCCTCCCGATGGATCAGGGCCTGATCAACTAGGCTGTTACTGCTGGCCGCACGCAGTCCAACGTATGAGGCACAGCCCGGCTGATCCGGCGCTGACTTTAGGTATCTGTCCAGCTCTCTCTTGAAGGCAGCCAGGGGTTTATTGGTAATTCCCCTAATGCTTGATGGGAGGCTGTTGAACAGTCTTGGACCCCGGACACTTATGGTGTTTTCCCTTAGTGTACCAATGGCGCCCCTACTTTTAATTGGGGGCATTTTGCATCGCCTGCCTAGTCTTTTACTTTCGTACGGAGTGATTTATGTATGTAGATTTGGGACCATTCCTTCCAGGATTTTCCAAGTGTAGATTATGATATATCTCTCCCTCCTGCGCTCCAACGAGTACAAGTCAAGTGCTTCCAAGCGTTCCCAGTAGTTAAGGTGCTTGACAGAACTTATACGTGGAGTAAAGGATCTCTGTACACTCTCTAGATCTGCGATTTCACCTGCTTTGAATGGAGATGTTAATGTACAGCAGTATTCCAGCCTATACAGAACAAGTGATTTGAAAAGGATCATCAGTGGCTTGGCATCTCTCTTTTGGAACGTTCTCATTATCCATCCTATCATTTTCTTTGCACGTGCGATCGTGGCAATGTTGTGATCCTTGAAAGTGAGGTCCTCAGACATTACTACTTCCAGGTCCCTTACATTATTTTTCCGCTCTATTGTATGGCCAGAGTCTGTAGTATACTCTGTTCTAGTTATTATCTCCTCCAGTTTTCCTTAACGGAGTAGTTGGAATTTGTCCTCATTGAACATCATATTGTTTACCGTTGCCCACTGGAAAACTTTGTTTATATCTTCTTGGAGGTTAACCGCGTCCTCAGCAGATGACAGCCTCATGCAGATCCTAGTATCATCCGCAAAGGATGATACGGTGCTGTGGTGTATATCTCTGTCTATGTCTGATATGAGGATGAGGAATAAGATGGGGGCGAGTACTGTGCCTTGTGGAACAGAGCTCTTCACTATGGCAGCCTCCGATTTAACTCTGTTGACCACTACTCTTTGTGTTCGATTTGTTAGGAAGTTGAAGATCCATCTCCCCACTTTCCCAGTTATTCCTTTAGCACGTATTTTATGGGCTATTACGCCATGATCGCATTTGTCAAATGCTTTTGCAAAGTTTGTGTATATTGCATCTGCATTCTGATTTTCTTCCAGTGCATCCAAGGCCATATCATATTGATCTAGTAGTTGGGATAGAGAGAGATAAATACGTACACCATCATCAGAGTCACTACGAGAACTCAATAACCCAAATATCCGGAATGTTAATATTCTTTCCTTACAGAAGCCAAAGCAATGTTTGTAGCACTCACAGAAACACCTGCAAGGGATGTTTTGCACGGTGAGACGTGGACGCAGGAGCACAATGAATACAGAGTAGGAATCTGTGTAAGAGATTCACTTAAGTGTATAGAACTTCTGAACTCATCAAATGACACAGCAGAAGTATGTACTAGGAAATAAAATGGAGGAAAAAAATAGAGTTATTGCTTTTGTGTATAAACCACCGTCATCAAGGCAGGGAAGATAAATAACTGCCTTGAAATCCTTCAAAGCCTAACACTAAATGTCTTAGCAGATTTCAACCATTTAAATGTTAAACGAAGATGATATAAAATCGACGGAGAGGAAATGAGAGAAATTTTGAAAGACCAATATGAGTCAGTGTTTAGCAATACTTTAAATCCATTCTAAAAAAAAATCATAAATCCGACATAAGCACAAATTCCTTAGAATTCGAAAAGGAGGCAGGGATGTTACCTCCAGTAATTGTAGTCTGTCGCTTAGTAATGCCTCAGTGTTGACGACTCCAGTCTAGACAGGAGATATATCAAAGCTGCAAAAGATAAAGAGGTCATTAACTGCTCACTTGTAGACAATATAGCACGCCTCGAAGTACACTTGGAATGTCCTCCCTGGAGTGAAAAAGCAATCCCTGATAAGTATATGGATGTTAAAAATACTTAAGATGCTAGTTCCATATCAACAAACTTCCATAACAATATGCTGAGGTGGGAGAGATGGAAGAAAGTGTAAAATGTACTTAGTGAGAAGTAGGGGCGCCGTGGGCACAGTAAGAGAACGCTGTGTCAACATGCGTGGTCCAAGGCTGTTTAGGTTGGTACTAGATGATTTTTGAAATATTACTGGAGCTTGACAAGCTGTATCAGTACCAGCCTGTGTGATCAGCGGGACGCCAGTAGCAAGAGTCTGGTTGAACAGGCGATCAAGTTAGAAGGCTGGTCCTAGGTTGAGCTGCCAGGACACACAAACTGTCAACACTGATGACAGGTAGATCACAGGTGAAGGAGTAAGGGGGGGTGGAGGTAGATCACAGGAAGGGGGGAAGGGGGTGGGTGATGGATTGGTGGGGGGGGGTGGTTGGGTGGAGGGGGGGGGAAAGGGTGGGTGGAGTGGGGGAAAGGTGGGGGAGGAAGGGTGGGTGGGGGGGAGTGGTGAGGGAAAGGGGGGTTTGGGGAGGGAGGGGTGGGTTTGGAGGAGAAAGGGGGGTTTGGTTAGTGAGGGTGGGTGAGTGAGAAGGGGGTCGAGTTAGTGAGGGGGGTGGAGGAGGGGGGGTTGGGTGTGTGGAGGTGAGAGATTGGATGAGGGGGTATGAGGAGTGATGGAGTGTGAGGGGGGAAGGATGAGGGTGGTGGGGAGGGAGTGATGGAGTGTGAGGGAGGGTGAGAGTGATGGAGTGTGAGGGAGTGGTGGAGTGTGAGAGTGATGGAGTGTGAGGGAGTGATGATGGAGTTCAACATGATGGAGCAAGGGTTCCTCTGCAAGGCAATATAGTTCAGATTAAAAAAAGGGGTCAATATTGCATACCAAGGGAGGTAAGGCTCGTAAAGAAGGCAGGATATAACAGTAATGTTGCTAGAGAGGTGGCCAGGGGTGGCCAGGGGTGGTCAGAGACGGCCAGGGTGGGGGGCCACAGGTCTCCGAGCTGATATAAACCACGTCTTCCAGCTGGCCACAGGAAACACCATGTCCAACCAGGCATACCTGTGACCGGTTTCGAGTGTTTTTCCGCCCTCGCACCCAGGCCTAAAACTGTGTTTCCTTCCTGATTTCTCGGCCCACAGACCTGCATAGCCGTCACGGACTGGACCATCCAGCAATCGGAAAAACTACTGGTCCAGTTTTCCCTTGAAGACTTCTACACTTACTGCGGGAATATTTCTGGTGGTAGGTTGAAGAGTCATGCATCACGGATCTCAACACAGTGTTGTTTTAGTGTAAATAAGGTGTCCTAACTTCTCTCCCGGATTTTCTCTAGATTTTCTCCCATATCTCTCACTCCACCAAGATGTTATGATAGTGTACCGAGTATGGATCCAACCCCTAAACTTTTGCCTTTTATATATTATCATGTATCTCTCTTCTCCACTCTAGAAAGTACATTCCAGAGCTTCGAGGCGTTCCCAGTAGCTCAAGTGTTTTATTGACTTTATGCGGGCAATAAAATTGCAGAAATAAAAATTGGAAAAGTATATAATATACTTGAAAGCATTGAGCTGGAGAGAAGAGGAATGTAAGAGACATGGGAGTAACAATGTCGCTGGATCTTACCTTCACGAATCATAACAGTGTTACTATTACAGCCGCAAGTATAGTGATAGGCTGGATAACTGGCACCTTTATTACAAGAAATGTCAAGACAGTGGTATACTTTTTAAGGCACTTTTTCCTCTCGATACACTACCCCCGTCTTTGTGTTCCTCTCCCATGATTGTTTTGTCCCCTTTATGACAAGCTTTGGTGGCAGGGGCCC